GACATCTGTGATGGGGAGATGCCTGAAGGTAAGGAGGTGACAGTGCCATCTGCCCTGGCCACCCCTCTGGCTCCTGGTGTCTTCAAGGTCCCCTGGGGGGCATCCCCTACCTCAGGCTCCTTTTTGCCTGTAGCCAGCTTTTCCCAGGGCTGGTCAGAAACAAAGGCTGGCTCTGCCTTGCATTCTTTTTTCCACTTTTATCTCAGTCTTAGTCTTTCTCCACGGAGTCCAGTCAATTTCTTTTCTCCTCCCTTCCCACACACCCAGTTCCTGCTCCATCATCTCATTCTCTCAGGCTGGCCTGGGACCATTTATTTATGTCTCTTCTTGTCTGTAGCTCGGTTTATTATTCTGTGGGATTTTGTTGAGGCTTTTTTGGAATATTCTCTTCCTTTTTTCAATAAAAACTCAAATACCCCAACCTTCCAGTACCCATCTCATTCTTCTTTTGTATCTGTCCAGATGGTACCTAAGTAAAGGAACCAGGTAAGTGCCTAATTATTTCCTTCGTTAAAGTAGCTAAATCTCAGGACAATTCATACTGAAATATTTGGGGATTTCTTCTTTGAAATCAGAATGAAGGTTGCCGTGGGAGAGATGATAGGATATTCTTGATGGGTTGCTTTAAGTCACCTTGATAGGTGCTTATTGTTTTCTAACTGTAATTTGAACACAAAAGGAAAGAAAATGGAAGGGTGCTTAAAGTAATTGTGAAAGGTGTGAAATGTCATGGCCAGGGCTGCAGGAAAATGGGTGTTTGTTTTCCCCCAAAGGAGTTTACCTATGAGGCTCTGATGACTTTAAAATTCTTACTTTAACACAAAATGTCTCTAGATTTATTCAGGTGAATTAACAGACTTTATTTACCTCCTTGTTCTAAAAGAGAGGTAGGGTTAGTTTGTGGTCAAAACTTTCAAAAGACATGAAATGTCAACGTAGACTTTTAACGTGTGACATAAAGATTGAAGGTTAAAACTGTGGAGAGTGTTTGCTGCCATGGCTCTCCCTTTGTCCTTCCCCCGCCCTGACAATAGCATCTTGTTCAAAGGTAAGAAAGTAAAGCATAAGAAGCTGGAAGCCATCATTCTCAGCAAACTAACACAGGAACAAAAACCAAACCTCACATATTCTCTCTCATAAGTGGTAGTTGAATAAGGAGAACACAGGGACACAGGGAGGGGAACATCACACACTGGGGGGTTCATTGTGGGGTGGGGTGTAAGGGGACAGAGAACATTAGGACAAATACCTAATGCATGTGGGGTTTAAAACCTCGATGATGCATTTATAGGTGCAGCAAACCACCATGGCACATGTATACGTATGTAACAAAGCTGCACGTTCTACACATGTATCTCAGAACTTAGAGCAAAACAAAACAAAACAAAACAACATTGGTTGGGCTCTTAGTTTTTTTCAGAGGTAGAATAATTAAGACTCATGATGAATGTGACTTTGTAACTTGGAGTACTATACTCACTTTTCAAGATGTTTAAGAATTTTGAATAAACAAATATATTATGTGAATTGATTATACCTTTATACACAAAATGTGTAAGTACCTGTGTAAACTTATACTCTGTTTGCTGGTGTAAGGAAAGCCTGTGAGTGATTTTACACAACAGTTCGTAGATGGGTTGTGTTGGATTAGAGAACAACAAAGGCTCTTTATTGCTGTTCTTTAGGATTACAATACAGTTTATGTATGTCTGTTTTGGCCCCTTCCAATACAAAGAATTCTTGTGTATGTTCTTCGTATGTATTCTTAATGAAGAAATGAAGAGAGAGATCTCACATGACTATTGAAGATAGCTGCACAACAGAACTTTCTGTGTCTTCAGAATGACATGGAAGTGACAAATATGCTGAATTTACTTTTGAAAAAAAAATTTTTTTTTTTTTAAGTTGGGGTTTCACCATATTAGTCAGGCCGGTCTCGTCCTCCCACCTCAGGCTCCCAAAATGCTGGGATTACAGGCGTGAGCGACCGCACCCGGCTACTTTTTTAAAAAATTTAAACTCCAGAATACATCTTATATTTTGTCTATAAAATAGGCCTCTCTTTTAAAATGTATTGCCATCTTGATTTACTTTATGCAAAGTTGATTTTACACAACTCAAAGAGAACATTTACCTCTCTTTTTTTTTTTAAATAAAAAGGAGTCTCATTATGTTACTCATGCTGACCTAAATTCCTGACTTGGGATGGAGGGATTTTCTTATCTTATCCTCCTGAGTAGCTGGGAGTACAGGCATGTGCCACCTTGTCTGGCCTCGTCTTATGTCTATACATTCATTTCAATGGATAAGAATAAAAGTAGAGGTATTAAAATGGCCTCCTTGTAGAATAAATGAGTTGATAAATTGTTATAATGATGACATCTTTTTTCTTTCCTTTCTGTATAGAAAGGGCTTTGGAGTCCGACCCTTCTGATCATCCAGAAGCAAAGAAATCTCAAGCAGATGGTGAGACAACATAGTTTTTTTCCACCAAGAAAAAGAGCAAAACTCTTGTTTGATGAGGTGTATAATAGAAAATGTTTAGCAAAACTCATATTGGTTTAAATTTTTAAAATTTTCACATATTCACTTGTGTTATTTTAACACGTGATATACTTTCCTTTAGTTGTTATCATGCTAGTGAAAACATGTCAACTTTTTGTTTATACATTTTCCCATCTTTTTATTAACACAATTTGTCATGTAATGGAGGAGTCTTAGATTTATCTTTATGTTTAATTCTTTGTTCCTCTTCCCAATGGATAAGAATAAAAGTAGAGGTAGTGAAATGGCTTCCTTGTCGAATAAATGAGTTGATAAATTGTTATAAGTGATTACATATTTTTTCTTTTCTCTCTGTATAGATAGAACATTAGAGTCCAACCCTTCTGAAGCAAGGACATCCCAAACAGATAGTGAGACAACATTGTTTTTTCCGCCAAGAAAAAGAGTGAAAAATCTTGTTTGATCAGATGTATTATAAAAAGTATTTAGAAAAACTCATATTATCCGACACAGTGGGAGGTCTCTTTCCCCTCCTGTATTTTCCCTTTGGGGTCCTGCTTCCACACACTCTCTCTTGAGGAAGNCTGCAGACACCATGTCCAAATTAGGGTTGTCTATTTATTTTAAGATTTAAATTTGGCCAGGCATGGTGGCTCATGCCTGTAATCCCAGCACTTTGGGAGGTGGAGGTGGGTGGATCATGAGGTCAGGAGTTCGAGACCAGCCTGACCAAAATGCTGAAACCCCATCTCTACTAAAACAAAAACTAGCCAGGCATGGTGGGATGCGTCTCTAATCCCAGTTACTCAGAGGCTGAGGCAGGAGAATTATTTGAACCCTGAAGGTGGAGATGGCAGTAAGTCAATGTCACACCATTGCACTCCAGCCTGGGTGACAGAGCGAGACTCCTTCGTATCAAAAAACAAAAAAGAACAAACAAAGAAACAAAAGATTAAATTTAAGATAGGTTACTTTTCAGTTGTGTAAAGACCCTGTTTTTGTTTGTTTTGTTTGTAGCAACATATTAGTAGATGACCACCGATTGTGGTTGGAGAGGCTTACAGGGATTCTGGTGCATCTAGAGATAGGTGCCTGGCCAGGAAGCAGTTCTTAGAGCTGTTAGCTCTTAGATTCGGGTAATTAAGCTACGTGTAAATGCAGAATGGGAGAATACTAATGGATCATGGCTCATATATGCAACATTTAAATTTTTTAATTAGCTCAATTTTTCATCTGGCCTAATTTTTGTGCCCTTTTGTACATGAGTATTATTTCACTCGTATGTAATAAAAACAGAAAGTAAACTAGGTCAAAAAATACATCTAAGTTTTTACATTTTATTTTATGAGATTTATCATGTCAGAGAGTTTAAATTATAAATTGTTGAAATAAATTTTTTTAAATGGAATTTTCTCTGATTGTACATAGGAGTAGTCAGTAAGATGTTAACAACTACTTTTATTTTATTTGTGTCAGAAGTGACCGGGTTTTTTTCTTTCATTCTTAGCACAAGAAACAGGAAAAAACAGCGGTACTAACCATGTAAGTAAACAGTCAAAAAGTTGAGAAATTTATAGTTTGATGTAAAATTATGTCTCTCTTGATTTTTTAAAATTATAATGGGGACCCAGTGGTGATAGGATGGACCTTGTTTCATGGATTTTCTGAATCTCTTCTACTTTCCTATCAAATTTATCCCAAAAATTCTTTAGCTTACTGTGCCCACCTTTTAAGGATTGCTCACACTCAAGTTAAATTTCAATAGTTGGTTGTGGTATAAAGACCTGCTTTAAATATTTAATCTTATTTTTAATAACAAAAATAGAAGAGCTAAGTTAGTTGTCAGTATGGTCTATTGGCCCTCTGTCACAGCAGGTGAAAGCGTATCTTCCTTGCTAACCATGACCTTATTTTTCTCCCTCTGTTTCTTTCAATTGTAGCACACTTTTTAATCAATCAGTAATATTGACATGATTATGACTATCCAAATATTCACTGCTGTGTTATATGTTGTTTTCACTGTGCCTCTTCATTACATATTCCTTCATCCTTTCTCTGAAACAGTTCTGAAATCTGAGCACTTCTGCTCTTCTTCTGGATCATCTTTTTTTTCGTAGCCTATGCTGGTTTATCCAGCCAAATGCAATAAGTAGCCTCTGGATGGTCTGCCACTTTATTGAAAAATAATAATTATTGTTAAGTTATATTTTACATATAATTTGCGTTTCACAGCCATTATTTTTTAGCATGAAGCCAATTTTCTGACTATATTCATTTGCCTGTTTTCTAACAGCTGATCCCCCCCCAAGTGTTGTAGCATTTATCACATGCCTTTCAGAGATATTTTCCATCTGCTAAAACATATCTGTTTCTCTTTGTTTTTGGCGGGTGGTGGGCAGCCTTTCTTTGGCCTTTTGTCATCCTAGTTCAGTATAGAATGGCTTTCCCTAGATATGCTTGATGTCTTAGTCTATCTATGCTATCTCTTTAAAGGGTTTTGGGATCTCACATAACTGCTGCCTTGTGTGGGATCACCAGAGTACTGGATTCTGTATTTCCTTCTGTCCTATTATCCTCTCTAGTTGTACTTAAGCACCTTTCCTGGGCAGAAGTGTTTAGACATCTGAGCAGTCTTAAAATTCTTCTTCCTTGATAGAGAGTAAACTTCTAGGTTGAATCTAAATTTTGTTGTTCTGAAGATATTATGCAATTGTGCTCTCATCACAGTGTTGTTCTTGAATCTATTGCCATTGCGTGACACATTATTTATAAGCACGTTTTATGTATTTTTGGAAGCTTTTTCGGAGTTTTCTTTCTCTGAGATTCTGAAATTTTATAATAACAGATTGGTGGGGGATCTTTTCATTTTACTGAGGGTACTAAGTATGCAGAGTCCCTCTTTTTGAGAATGTTTTTTATTTCCTCTGTTCCTTTTTTCTGATAGTCGTGTTACTCAGGCATTAGGCTGCTTAGACCAGTAGACCTGCTTTGGTTTCCAATTTTTTCCCTTCAATTTTTTTCAGTTTGTCTTTTTATTCTACGTCTGGGATATGCTATGAGTTTATACTCTACTATATCTATTGAATTTTATGTATTTTTTAGAGTGTTTTGACATTTTTAAAAAGTTTTGCTCCTGATTTTGACTTGTCCCATAAATTTTGTGTGTGTTGTTTCAGTCTCTCTTGTTGGAGACTTTTCTCCAATGTGTGGTGGTCCCTGGCTTGCTTGGTCGATTTGGAAGCAGGACTTCTGTTAACTGATGGCACTCTGTGAGGCTGTGGAAGCAACTGGCTTTTCATTTGGGAGACCTCCGTATATTATCTGGGGATCTTTATTTGAGACAGTTTAGTTTCTTGAGAATGTTCTCCCAAGTTTCTGTGTGGCTACTTGCTTTCCAAAAGCAGAGTTAGGGAAGAAATTTGGAGTTCCATTTTTGGTGTATAGTTTTCTTTATATCTCAGGTTTAATCTATGGTAGTTGGGAGCCAGAAATTCTCAGGTTTGGTATATCCAGGGAATACACATCTAAGTTTCTTATCAGATGGGAGAACAAGTGGACGTGAGTTTCTAACCACAGATTTTTCAACTGACCTTGGTGGCTTTGTTTTACATTTTGCACTACTTTTCAAAGTGCTATTTGCCTCTAAGTTCACAGCCCACCTTTAGTTCTGCAAGACAAACTGCTCACTTCTATTGCAGTCACTTTCTCTTTTTTTGTGTGTGTGACAGAGTCTTGGTTTGTTACCTGGACTGGAGCGCAATGGTGAGATCTCAGCTCACTGCAACGTCTGACTCCTGGGTTCAAGCAATTCTCTGCCCCAGCCTCCTGAGTAGCTGGGATTGCAGGCATCTGCCATCACAGCCAGCGGATTTTTGTATTTTTAGTAAAGATGGGGTTTCACCATCTTGACCAGGCTGGTTTTGAACCCCTTGGCCTCCCAAAGTGATAGGATTATAGGCTTGAACCTCCTTGCCCGGCCTCCGGTCACTTTCTTTAGGCATCATAGTTGTGCTTCTGTGTTATGTACCACTCCTTTATCTACTTTTTTTGTCTCAGCATTTATTAAAAATTATTTCTTTTCAACCTTCTCTCCTGGTGCAGTGTGTCACCTTTATTTTGTGACTAATGAGTTGTCTAGAGGGAGAAGAAATAGATTTGTGATCAATCTGTTATATTTAATCCAAATTTAGGACCTATATTAAAGTGTAAATCAAAGTTTAATTTCAATATCATTAATGATCTTAACCCAGACAATTTTTTAGTGATGTATCTGTAATAAGCATGTTACAGTTGTCTTCTAAGGCCTTGTTTGATATTTTCATTCAAGCTTTATACACTGTCATATTATCCCATTACTTCACAACATAGATGGACCTGTTTTCATGAATGCTCACAGTGTTAGAAATATTTAAGTTAATTAAGATATGTTTACTTTTAACATAGCAAGACCTCATCTCTACAATATGGTGAAATAACAAATTAGCCAGGCATGGTGGCATATGCCTTTAGTTTTACCTACTTAGGCAGCTGAGGCAGAGGATTGCTCAAGCTCAGGAGTTTGAGGCTGCAGTTAACCATCATTGCACCACTGCCCTCCAGCCTGAGTGACAAAGTCAGACCTTGTCTCAGAAAAAGGTAAAAAGCTATTATTAGTTTAAAAACATGCCTAAAATTTGTCCTGCCAAAAGGAGAGAGAAAAACATAAACTTTAGTTTTTATTTTATTTATGTTTGCTGAGAAGATTGCTGTAGTTTATTTATTTTTTATTTCTGTAGGTTTTGGGGGGAACAGGTGGTATTTGGTTACATGAGTAAGTTCTTTAGTGATGATTTGTGAGATTTTGGTGCACCCATCATCTGATCAGTATCCACTAAACCTGATTTGTAGTCTTTTATCCCTCACCCTTTTCCGACACTTGCCCCTGAGCCCCCAGGGTTCATTGTATCATTCTTATGCCTTTGCATCCTGGTAGCTTAGCTCCTATGTATGAATGGGAATACACAATGTTTAGTTTTCCATGCCTGACTTACTTCACTTAGAATAATAGTCTCCAATTCCATTGAGGCTCCTGGGAATGCCGTTAATTTATTTCTTATTGTAACTGAGTGGCATTCCAATATTTTATATACATACATATATATATACATATATGTATGTATATAAAATATATACATATATATCACAATTTTTTATCCCCTCATTGACTGGTGGGCATTTATGCTGTTTCCGTATTTTTGTAATTGAAATTTGTAAATTGTAATTTGTTTGAGTTCCTTGTAGATTCTGGGTAATAGCCCTTTGTCAGATATACAGAGTGTGAAGACTTTCTCCCACTCTGTGGGTTGTCTGTTTACTCTGCCGATTGTTCCTTTCACTGTGCAGAAGCTCTTCAGTTATGTCTTACCTGTTTGTTTTTGTTGCATTTGCTTTTGGGTTCTTGGTCATGAAGTCTTTGCCTAAGCCAGCGTCTAGAAGGGTTTTTCCAAGGTTGTCTTCTAGAATTTTTATGGTTTCAGGCACAAATTTATGTGCTTGATCCATCTTGAGTTGATTTTTGTGTATGGTGATAGTTGAGGATCCAGTTTCATTCTCCTACATGTGGCTTGCCAATTATACCAGCATCATTTGTTGAATAGGGTTTGCTTTCTTCACTTTATATTTTAGTTGGCTTTCTTGAAGATCATTTGGCTATAAATATTTGGGTTTATTTCTGGGTTCTTTCTTCTGTTCCATTGGTGTATGTGCCTCTGTTTATACCAGTTTCATGCCGTTTTGGTAACTATGGCTTTATAGTAGAGTTTGAAATTAGGGAATGTGATTGATGCCTCCAGATTTGTTGTTTTTGCTTAATTTTGATTTTCCTATGTGGAATCTTGTTTGGTCCCATATCAGTTTAATTATTATTTTGTTCTGGTTTTGTGAAGAAGGATGATGGTATTTTGATGGGAATTTCATTGAATTTGTAGATTGCTTTTGACAGTATGGTCATTTTTACAATATTCATATTACCCATTCATGAGCAGGAGATGTCTTTCCTTTTGTTAGTGTCCATCATTTCATTCAGCAATGTTTTGTGGTTCCCAACAGCATATCAAAAAGATAATCCACCATGATGAAATGGGTTTCATACCAGGGATCCAGGATGGTTGAACATACACAGGTCAATAAATGTGATACACCGCATAAACAGAACTTGAAACAAAAATCACATGATCATCTCAATAGACACAGAAAAAGCATTTGACAAAACCCAGCATCCTTTTATGATGAAAACCCTCAGCAAAATTGTCATACAAAGGTCATACCTCAATGTAATAAAAGCCATCTATGACAAACCCACATCCAACATAATACTGAAGAGGGAAAAGTTGAAAGCATTCCCCTTGAGAACTAGAACAAGGCAAGGATGCCCCAATCTCACTACTTTTATTCAGCATAGTACTGGAAGACCTAGCCAGAGCAATCACAGAAGAGAAAGAAATAAAGGGCATCCAGATCAGTAAATAGGAAGTCAAACTGTCACTGTTTGCTGATGATACGATTTTATACTTAGAAAACCCCAAAGACTCCACCAGAAAGCTCCAAGAAACTGATAAATGAATTTAACAAAGTTTCAGGAGACAAAATTAGTGTACACAAATCAGTAACTCTGTTGTACTGTAACCACGAATGCTGAGAATCAAACCAAGAACTCAGCCCCTTTTATAATAGTTAAAAAATAAAATATAAAATAAAATACTTAATAATAGACCTAACCAAGGAAGTGAAAGACCTCTACATGGACCTTTGATGGTAAGCCTTTGGTTTTGACTTACTAAATTACCAGGTATAATTATCTTCTAGTTTTTGTTATTAACCTACTATGTAACCCCTTCCATTTCTTGTTAAAGATCATAAAATTTCACACTCTTTATTAATGCTGACTGCAGTTAGATGATTTCTTTTTTGTTGACTACCTTAAATAATACCTATAAACAGTAAACCGTTATGAGTGTTTTTGGTGTAATTAAATGTAGTAAGACTATTTTCCAAATTATAACTGAATTAATTCATTAAATACTTGTCGAAGTTTTTGATTTACTCAAAATTCTGTGCTTTCTACCTCAGCAGCTGGAGGTAGAAAGAGTAAGAGCCCTCCCTTACTCTTATGGAGAGGTATACTTTCTCATGAGGGAAATACTCGGCAAGAATTAGTATCTTGTAACCAGTGGTGAATTTGATTAATTAGTGTACAAAAAAGCAAAAACAAAACTTTTTTTTGTGTGGCTGCTGGCAAAAAGATCCAAGAAGGTAGATGGAATCAAGCTTGCTGAAACAAGGAGAGAGAAAAACAGTCTTCTAGGCAGAGAGCAAGATTATAGCAGGAAAATGCCTAGGTCAGATGATTTATAGAATGAAATCAATCAACTTTTGAAATGAATGGCAAGTATTCTCTGAGATTTTTCATTTGAGTCATGTCATGGTAGTCTTATTTAAACATGAAGTGAAAGTTGTTATCTGTTTTCAGGGTGTGAGAGAACAGTTAAGTGACAATCTTTTTATCCTCCACATAAGAAAACAGGACTAGAGAAACCTATGGCTTCCTCACTTGGTGGTGGCCTAGCAACCCTGGCACACAGAACCTCTGAATGTGAAACACCTGTTTTGTCACAATATTGCCTGAAATAATACATGTAGGATTAGTAAGTTTGTAAATACGTTAGTCTTGTATTCACTGCAATAAATTTCTCTTGTATCAGTATTATTTAATACATTACATTTTATTGTAATAAATTAATAGAAATTCTCAGCTGTTTTATATCTTGGTAGAAAAAAACAATGAAATTGTATTTTAAACTTTTGTCATTATATATAAAGAGAATTCATAAAATCCTTGTTAGGTTTGATGACAGGTAGCATATTAAGAGCAGCATTTTCTAACCCATATCTCAATATCATCTCTGGAAGTTAAGAGCCTCCAATGGTTTTTCTATACAGTGCACATGGTATCACACTCAGGCAGTTCATGGAGTGTAAGAAATATCTTAGTGCTTTGTCATTTGACAGTTTAACTGAGAAATAAAAAACACACTTTGATAAGTTTACCTTATCTTTCCCTTCCTCTTTAGATATATGCGGAATATTCTTCTTTGAAATTCAGCTCATGCTCGACAATTTTTCTTGATGACAGCACAGCCAGCTCCCCTCATTTTGAAGTGACAATAGAATCGTGAGTACGACTATACTGCCAAGGGACAGATTAAAATTATTTCAGCCATTTGGTTGTCCTCTTCAATCAGTTTAAGAAATTGGAGTCAACTATATATTGATATCAGATTCTAAATATTAAGTATCAATTTCTCTTTTCATCTTCTACATCATGGTAGAAGGAAAAATCTCTTAGCAAATAAGCAATTTCAGGAAAAGTGTTACTGTTTATTTGATGCCTTTATGCCTTAAGAGAATGTTGAATGCAGTAAGAAGGATAGGTTCCCTTTAATGAAGGTATTTTTGTGAAAAATTACTTTCTCAATGCATTGCAGGCCTAAGTCAATGTGTACTACTTTGGACATTAGTCTTAGAAGAAGGAACAGCTTTTTCTCCTAAGGCATCACAGTGTATCTGCATTTGAATTTCTCCCATTGTGCATGAGCACCCCATGGGCCACAAAGATGCACTTTGAGAGCACTCTGAGATGAAGTTTGTTTTTTAAAAGGAACAACCACCAACACCACCACCACAGGGGCTGTCCAGTGATCATTATTATCATCTCCTTGGTTATGAGTGTTGATTTTTAGAGCACAGTTTCAAAGTGCTAATTTAGAATATTAATGTCCTTAATATAAGTTTACTTTTCATTCTAGAAATATAACTAGCTAGCTCATAAACAATTTTGTTTTGAATGCACTAGCCTTTTTAACTAATTCAATTGTCAGTAACTTTTACTTTAATTAAAGATGGCAGGTTTACACTCATGATAATGTCACTTTCCTCCCTCCCTTATAACAATAGTTGAGATGAAATTGTGTTTCAGCAAAAATTGGAATCAAATTACGTCTTAGGTACTGAGTTCTGGGACCTATTGAGTAATCACTAAATGTCTGTAGTCAGCCAAGTTTCTTCAATCTTTTTTCTTTTTCTTTTTTTTTTTTTTGAGATGGAGTTTTTCTCTTGTCTTATTGCCCAGAATGGAGTGCAGTGGCACCATCTTGACTCGTCACAATCTCCACCTCCCAGTTTGAAGCAATTCTGCCTCAGCCTCCCAAGTAGCTAAGATCACAGTCATGCACCACTGCACCCAGCTGTTTTTTTTTTTTTTTTTTTTTTTTTTTTTTTTTGAGAGTTGAGGTTTCTCCATGTTAGTCAGGCTGGTCTGGAACTCTAAACCTCAGGTGATCTGCCCACCTCTGCCTCCAAAAGTGCTGGGATTACAGGCATGAGCCACCACAGCTGGCTGTCTCTTAAATCTTTGAGCATAAAAACAAACCAACAAGCAAACTACTTTGGCTAAAGTCCCTGGCTGCTTTTGAATTCAAGCGATTTTTATGTGTTAGCATAGAATTCCAAAGTAGCTTTGAAGATAGTCTTGTTCAAACAGATTTCATGCTTTTTTCCTCATTCTTCTAATTTTTAGAAATCTGCTTTCAAAAATAAAGTAAGTTTTAATTTGCCATCAGCAAGTTTGAGAAATGAGCATTTGGTGTATTCACTCTTGGTGAAATAGAGGTTTATTGAGCAAATTAATAGGGCAAATTGGCTTCAGGAAAAGATTTTGAAAAATGTTGATCACAAGTTAGTAGTGCACTATTATCAGTGGGTTAGGTGGAACTCATTGGGATCACTTTTGCAAAGTTTGTCTTCAAAATACATATCTGCAAATACATGTGTCCTCCATGTGATGAAAGGCTTTGTGGGTAGAAGAACATATAACAGGGTAATATGTTATTATTTATATATTATAATCATCTACAGAAACACATTTTCTAATAGTGTATTGTATGTCCTTGCATTTTTGTTCTCATATTTTTGCTAAAACCCAATAATTGAAAACAAGAAAGTGCCTTTATGGTACTGTTCTGAACTAGAAGGTTTTAATTTCAGGGCCACTAGGAGAGTTTCCACCACACTCTTTTAAAAAAAATGTCTTCAGACCTAACAAATGATAACATCTATTGTTATGAATGTTTTTCCTTCCACAGTGTGGCCTTGGAGATATATTATCTTATCAAGGAAAGGTGAGCTTTTTTAAAAACTGTCTTGTTATTCTCGTTAATTACTTTGCAAGCTATCAAGCTCTTTAAAGCAAATTATTTGTGTTTTCTTTGGTCCTTAACACTTTTAATTCTTAAATGACTGGGAATCTCAAAGAATATGTATTTATATTGATAATATTGATATTTACTGTAATAGAACTATAAACGAGATTTTTTTCAAAATCTGTTTTTAGTTTAGATTTCACAGCCTTACCACTGTTGATATCTTGATCTAGATAACACTTTGTCACGAGGACTGTCCTGTGCATTGCAGAAAGTTTAGCAGCACTGGTGGCCTGTACCAAGTAGATGTCAGTAATAACCCATGACCCAGGTTGTGACAACAGAAAATTCCTTGAGAACGATATTGTTAACATAAAATTTTTAATGAGAAAATAGATTTTCTACAACAAAAAGTTGAGTAAAAAGTGTGTCATGTATTTATATTATTAAAAACCTTGAATGTCTCTCTTAATAGAAGACAGCTGGATTCTCTAGGTCTTTTTTTGCAGTTTGCTTTAAGAAGCAATAAAATGGCCAGGTGTGGTGGGAGGCACCTGCAATCCCCACACTTTGGGGAGGCCAAGGTGGACAGATTCATTTGAGGTCGTAATGTTGAGACCAGCTTGACCACCATGGTGAAACCCATCTCTACTAAAAATACAAAAAATACCTGGGCATGATGATGCATGCCTGCAGTCAAAAAAGGGAAGCAATGACATGACCTAATCTCATGCAAATATGTAGTTGGTAAAAGGTACATTTTTAAAACTTTGAATGGTGTGGATATTTAATAATAAGTGAAAACTTGACAAGTGCTACTTTTTAAAATTAGTTGCAGTGGCATTATACATATTAATAAATTTATTTGGTCAGTACTCACTAATCTGTCTTGCATGGTAAATGGATCTTTTCCCCCATACTTGCATTTATACTATCATGCATTAGTTATTTGGAATAAATTGGTTTATGTTTTATTGTGTCAAAAATCACTTTTAACCACCAATATTATTTTAAAAGTCTTTAAGTGTTGAAAAGCTGTCAAGCCTATAGTAGAAGGAGTGAGATTTTCAAAGTCCTCAGGAAAGCTTACTTTATCATTGGGAACATGTGCTTTCCTTGAAGTGACAACCTCAGTTCATTTATTTTTGAGAATGATAGTTGTCCTTTTTTTAGACTGAGCCTCACTCTGTCACCTGGCTGTAGTACATTGGCATGATCTCAGCTGAAGCAATTCTCTCACCTCAGACTCCTGTGTAGCTAGGACCACAGAGGTGTGGCACCATGTCTGGCTAATTTTTGTGTATTTTTGGTAGAGACAGAGTTTCACCATGCTTCCCAAGCTACACTCGAACTTCTGAAGGCGCTCAAGCGATCTGCCTGCTTTGGTCTCCCAAAGGGTTTGGATTTTAGAGGTGTGAACCATTGCACCGGCACAGTAATACTTTTAAATAAAAATGATGTTCTGTGAAAAAAGTGATTGTTCTGCTGACAATTAAATCATGAATTTTTTTTAAGCACAACTGTACTGCAGTCAGCAGAAGTGCTTCTTCTTAGCTTTCTACTGATTCAGAATATTAAAGAGACATGTCAAGATTTAGTAACACCATTAATTTTTACCACCTCAACAAAGACATTCTTAATTACTTTAGACTGCTTTTTAACTGTAAGGGACAATAAAGAACAGAATTACTACCAGCGTAATTGGTACCACTGCATTGATTTAGGCTGAGAAACCAACAGCTTTATACACTTTTGCTTTTATACAGTTATGGCAAGTGTCTATGAAAAAGTAGTCAGTGTCTTTGTATTACTTTCCTAATTAAAAAAAAAAAATTTGTATCAACTTTCTGAGGTTGAATTAGTATGATTTTCAGAACAGTGTCCAGCAGACACGGTGGCTCAGGCCTGTAATCCCAGCAATTTGAGAGGCCAAGCAGATGGATCACCTGAGGTCAGGAGTTCAAGACCAGCCTTGCCAGCATGGTGAAACCCTATTTCTACTAAAAATGCAAAAGTTAGCTGAGCATGGTGGTAGGCGCCCGTAATCCCAGCTACTCGGGAGGCTGAGGCAGGAGAATCACCTGAACCTGGGAGATGGAGGTTGCAGTGAGCCAAGATCCCACCATTGCACTCCAGCCTGTGCAACAAGATTGGAACTCCATCTCAGAAAAACAAAAACAAAACAAAGAAAAACAAAACAAAACAGTGTTGACCTCTTAGGCCTTCTCAGAAAGGGTCTTCGGGATCCCCAGAGTTCCACAGAGCACAGTGGGAGAACCACTGGTTTATCACACAGGCACAATGCATTAGTTTTACAAAATTTGAAGTTAATCAAAGACTAGCCTCTTTTAAAATAAAAGGGCAGATGAGTTTTTAATTCAAACAACAGAAAATAAATAAATTCATCATGAAAGTATACTACAGAGGACTAAAAAGCAAGGAAGCTAGGAAATCAGAATCACATGCACATTTATTAAAGTCCTAAAGACTTTATTGCCCACCACTACTGCTTTGTAAAACATTCTTGTGTTTCAATGTGTGGTTAAGAAGAGAGAAAATATGTTTGGTTTATTGCCATTGCCTGTTAGGGAGGGGAGGGTCAATACCTATAGGCAGCTCTGACTGGTTATTGTGAAAAAGACTTCACAGTACAGGATATGATGTGCTGAGGAAAAAGAGGTCGGGAAAGGTTCTGCAGGGCAGGATCCAGGAGAAGAATTTGTAAAAACTGTTTGCTTTGGTGAAGTAAACACCAAAGCACATAGGAGACTTATTATACTAAAAAGGTATTATACTACGATATTCACAGTTTTTGAAGTAATGCACATTCTTATTTTGTAGAGATGAAAATAGAACTTTGGAAATATTTGATGAACGTATATTCCCACTTCATGTAAGTGGCACTTTTATTGAGGTTGTATTTTTGTTATAGACTTGTATTTGTTTCATGCTGATGTCAAAGCCATCTTTAAATCCTCCCCATTTCGTGTTGCATTTAATCATCTTAGATGTTGTAAAAAGAATGTATTAGAATAAGAACTGATCTGCAGCTCTCTTTAGTTAGTGAACTAGTATGAGTAAATCTACTATCGAAATAACAGAAAATGTATCTTTTAAAAGACAGTTATTAGTAGCATCAAGCAATATAAGTATATGTAAATACTTTTAACACAGAAGCGTGACTTTTATGAAGAGTTAAAAATAATTTAAGTTTAAATCAACCTACATGTTATAAAAATTTAAAAATGTACTTCCTCAAGTACATAATAGCCACATGTGGCTAGTGACTATTGTATCTAACAGCATAGGCTTAGAACCTCGTGGTTACAGGAAACTGTATTTTCTCAAAGTTTATTACAGAGAATGACATACCATCAGTAAGACATTAAAGCCTAAGAGTAGCTTACATTTGGATAGAATTATGTGGGGCAAAGAGTGAAAGAGAACAAAATTTTCTGAACTTTAGCTCATATGATTTTTAAGTGAATGTTGATGAGTATTAAATCATTATGGTATTTGAAGATCCCACTGTTCTTATTGTAAAAACTGAAAGACATCTCACCAATCAAAATTACTGTAAATGATACATGTTGACAAATGTGAACACTGCTGTCTTAAGGGCACTTCAAGTTTTCTCTTCAAAGAATACTTACTTTGCATCCTTTCTTCTTTCAGCGAGGACACGTTCTGGAAGAATACTTTATGTTTGATCCTACACACAAAGTGATTTGCAGATTTATGCTTACTCTGTTTTGTATCAAAAGGCTAGATGCTGACTTAGCAATCATAAGTTTGGTAAGATATTTTCTATTTATAAAGCATCTTTAGAAATTGGTCTTGTAGAGTGGCCTGGCCAATGTGGTTAAACCCTGTCTCTACCTAAAATACAAAAATTAGCCAGGCATGGTGGCACACCCCTGTAGTCCCAGCCACTCAGGTGTCTGAGGCAGGAGAATTGCCTGAACTCAGGAGGCAGAGTGCAGTGACCCGAGATCAAGCCAGTGTACTTCAGCCTAGGCAACAGAGCAGGACTCTATTTCAAAAAAAAAAAAAAGAAAAGAAAAGAAATTGATCTTGTAAACAGGGTAGTATGTTCCTGATTTTAAATGAAAGTAGGTTTCTGAAATTATCTCAGAACTTTAAGAGAAACTTATGAAAGCAAATACACACATTTGAGTTGAATCATCATTATGGCTTAAATGTTGCTTTGCATTTCTCATTACAGAACAATTGCTATTAAAGGCAGCTGGAGGGATTTCTGATTTCTCCCCCCACACTTCAGTGCACACATGCACACGCAGTGTGCACACATCCAGGGCATGTGGAGGGCTTGGAATGAAGAGCAGTAACAAGACCATCTGGTTTATGGGCAGCAATGTGTGCCATTGTAGGTCTAAGCTGAGTCTCAGGGTGTATTCCCAGGCAGTTCTCGTGTATGTTGTGATTGAGAGCTACTGTCCTCACTTCATTCTTCCTTGGATGTGTTAATCTACCCCCGCTGGGCAGAGTAGGTAGCAGAAATATTTGGGCTCTGATTGTGATATGGTCCCTTATTTAACCTGATGAAACAAAGTCTCTGTAGAACATAAGAATAAAAGGCATCTACTTTCTGGTCAAAACCAGAATTATTCTGGTTTTTCATAGGAGTTCTTATCATAGCACTTAAACTGAGCTAAATCAAAGGCCAGTGCTCTGTTTTCCAGGTATACGTAAAAAGACTTGTAAAGTGTGCTAATATCAACATTTGTCCATCCAACTGGAAGAGGATTATCTTCGGAGCCATTCTTCTTGCCATCAAGTTTGGGAGCAATGTGGCTGTGTGCAATAAGGACTTATGCAAGCACTTTGAGAAAATTACAGTTGACCATATGTGAGTTTGTACAGTTTTTTGAACTTTTTAACCATTCTTGAATACTTTATTTGCTCCCATAAACTTAAACACTTTGAGAAATACTTTTAAAGATTACATTATGCAGATAATAAGAATGGGCATAAATACCACATACTCTTTCTCCCCAGCTTTAGAAGAACAGTTCATATTTTTCACTATTCATTGGTAGGTCTTGGTAAATTGCCATTGTAATGATCTCATAAATGGAAAAGTATTTTTCTGGTGAATGTTTTTGGCAAATATCTTACCAGTGTACAATGAGAAACATGATAGTACAGTCAATTTGCTTACGGCTTTTACAAGCTGCCTGCAAGTTCTAGTCTCTTTGTGAGGAGCGCCTCTCTGGCCTTTGAAATAATTGTTTGCCCATTGACAGTTCTGGGGCCTCTGCACTGTGAAGTATAGCTTCACCCTGAGCCATACATTGTGTATTTGCATTTGTTGCTGTACTCCCACTTTTCTCTGAAGACCCATTTTATAGAAACCTTGAGATACAGAATAGCCACAGTTCCCTGTGCCCCTGTCCTCTCCCCATTAGGAGTGTTGCATCACTGGGCTGATGAGTTAGTGTTCCCCTCAGGCAGTCTGAGAAACATTTTTGGGGCATCACCCAATGCTCACCACACTCAGGAGATTCCCGGGGCATTAATGCAACCACAGCAGCACTTGGAGGGCCCCAAGGTATCTATGAGAATGCAAGAAATCTTGCTGAATCATGGGGTTGCTCATAGACAGTAACATGACACTGAAACAGGAGCTTCATGGGTCTATCAGTCTGGACTCATGACTGCTGTAAAGGGAAGGGTCTTGGAGCTGGTTGGTAGGGTGAGACAGGGAGGCATTTCCAGCACAGGTTCTCACAGTGTCCACTAGACAGTGAGAATGGCTTTGTGGGTGACACTTAGGAAAATCTGAAGGAACACCTCTTGATGACATAGAAGCATATGAAGCATATGAAGATGAAGATCCTCAGGAAGTGGCAAGAGGTTTTTGTTTTTTATTTTATTTTTTATTTTTTTGTTTGATTCTTTGTTTTTACATTTGTCTATTTCTCCAGATAAGACTGTGATTCAGGATGTATGCAGTCTCAAATAGAAGTCTCTGCCAATTGTGCTCCCCACAGGAATAACAACTTTAGCAACTATCGAAATAAAAAAGCACCTCCATAAGAACTGAAAATCATTTAAATGTTCATATGACATGGTTTTAATGTTGTATCAGTGAAAGAGGCACTGAACAGCATAGAAAAGACAGTCTTGAATTGTTGATGCCACCACTGTGAACCTGTGGCAAGGAGAGAGGCTACATGCCTTGGGAAGGGAGAGCACAGCAGCTGTGGGACTTTGCCTTAACTCAGTGCTGCCTCGTCATAGCAGAACGCAAAACAAAGCTGAATCCACCCAAAGCCCACCCACAGAAAAAACACTTAGACTAGCCCCAACCATAGGGGAATTATTCATCCCTGTGGTTGGAACTTGAGTGGTGAAAGCCTGGCTGCTATGGGATAAAAGAGTCTGGAGCCCTTAATCAACCTGAAAGTCTGTCTAGGTCACAAGGACTGCAACTCCTACTGCCATCTGGACAGACTTAGTGCTGTCCCAGAGGTCATGGCCACAGGGGTGCTTGTATCACTCCTATCCCAGCTCCAGGCAGCTTAGCACAGAGAGACAGACTTCATTTGTGAAAAAGTAAGTGAAGAAGCGAGTCTCTGTCCATTAATCTAGAGAATTCCTTCAGGTCTGATCTCAGACCACCAATGTGGAACCTCCACAATTCTGCAAAAAGCAATAACGTTCTTCACAGAAATGGAAATAAAAAAATGAATCCTAAAATATATAGGCAACTACAAAAGTCTCAGAATATCCAAAGCTAACCTGAGCCAAAACAAAGCTGGGGGAATTACATTATCTAATTTCAAATTACCCTCTACACCTGTAGTAACCAGAACAGCATGGCACTGTGACTAAAAACAGACATGTAGCCCAATGGAACAGAACAGAAACCCAGAAACCAATTCATTCATCTGCAGTGAACTCATTCTCTATGAAGGTGCCAAGCACATGCAATGGGGTAATGACAGTCTCGTCATTAAGGGGTGCTGGGAAAACTGAATATCCACATGCAGAAGAATGAAACCAGGCCTCTATTTCTTACCTTATACAATCATCAAATCAAAATGGATTAAAGATGTAAGTCTAAGCTGGGCGTGGTGGCTCACACTTGTAATCCCAGCACTTTCGGAGGCCAAGATGGGAGAATGGCTTAAGCTCAGGAGTTCGAGACTGTCTGGGCAATGCAGTATCTCTGTCTTTTAAAAAACTAAAAATAGATCTAAATCTAAGACCTCAAATACGAAACTAAAAACAGTGGGTAAACTCTCCATGATATTGGACTGGGCAAATATTTTTTGCATAATGTTTTATAAGCACAGGAAACCAAAGCGAAAATGGGCAAGTTAGGTCACATCAAGTTAAAAAGCTTCTGCACAACAAAGGAAACAGTGAACAAAGTGTAGTGACAACCCACAGAATGGGGGAAGGTATTTGAAAACTATCTGACAAGGGATTAATTACCAGAATACTAAGGAGCTCAAATAACTCCATAGAAATAAAAATAACAATCTGATTTTTAAAATGGGCAAAGTATCTGAATAGACATTTCTGAAAAGAGGACACATTAGGCAGGCTTGGTGGCATGTGCCTGTAATTTCAGCTGTTTAGGAGGCTTAGATGTGAAAATTATCTGAGCCTGGGAGGCCAAGGCTGCAGTGAGCTGTGATTCTGCCACTGCACTCCAACCTGATTGACAAAGTGAGACCTGTTTGAAAACTCCTTAAGAAAGGCATACCAATGGCAAACAGGTATATGAAAAGATACTCAACATCAATATCGTTGATGTTCAGAGAAATGCAAATCAAAAGTACAATGAGAGATCATCTCACCGCACTTAAAATGACTCTTGTTGTAAAAACAGGCAATAACAAGTGCTGGCGAGGATATAGAGCAAAGGTAACCCTTTTACGCTGTCAGTGGGAATGTAATTTAAATACAGTCACAACGGAGAACAGTTCAGTGGTCCTCAGAACTAAAAATAGAGCCGCCATATGATCCAGAAATCTCACTGCTGGGCATAAACACAAAAGAAAGGAAAGCAGCATATCAGAGAGATACCTGCACTCTCATGTATGTTGCAGCACTATTCACAACAGCCAAGATTTGGAAGCATTCTGAGTATTCATCAACAGATGAGTGGCTAAAGAAAATGATTCATATACACAACAGAGCATTATTCAACCATAAAGGAGAATGAGATCCTGTTATCTGCAACAACATGGATGGAAATGTTAAGTGAAATAAGCCAGACACAAAAAGACAAAATTCACCTATTCTCACTGATTTGTGGGAACTAAAAATTAAAACAATTTAACTCGTGAAGGTATAGAGTAGGAGAATTGTTTGCAGCTGCTGGTAAAAGTAGTATGGGGGATGAGAGGAGTAAGGGGTGATGGTTAATAGGTGCACACATTTGGTTAGAAAGAATAAATAACATCTCGTATTTGATAGCACAACAGGGTGACAGCCCTCAAGAATTATTGTATATTTTACAGTGACTAAAAGAGTGTAGTTGAATTATTTGTAAAAAAAAAAAAAAAAAAAAAAAAAAAAAACAAAAAAAAACAAAAAAAAAAAAAAAAAAAAAAAAAAAAAATAAAAAAAAAAAAAAAAAAAAAAATTAAATAAAAGGATACATGCTTGAGGTGCGATGGATTTTCCATTTGCCCTGCTGTGATTATGACACATTATAGGCCTGTATCAAATAATTTTATATACCCCATAAATATGTACAACTACAATGTACCCCAAAACGATTTTAAAGACTTTCATTCAGAATTAACACAGTGTATATTTACAATTGAAACGAGGCTTCTTGTAACCAAGAAGAGACTAGTGATGGTTGGTTGCTGTTCAAATGGCTGCTGAGTTACCAATTTGCCAGTAGTATAAACTGAGTTGTCATGGCGATATTGCTAGTAGCCATTTTAGTAAAGGATTTGACAGAAAATGAATGTCATTTGAAATTTGCAGAAGCTAAAGTTCTCTTAATCACTACTGTCATCAATCTGTAAACTGTTTTCTGTGTGTGTGTGTGTGTGTGTGTGAGAGAGAGAGAGAGAGAGAGAGAGAGAGAGATGGAGTTTTGCTTTTGCTGCCTAGGCAACAATGTGCAATGGCATGATCTTGGCTCACCGCAACCTCCGCCTCGTGGGTTCAAGCAGTTCTCCTGCCTCAACCTCCTGAGTAGCTGGGATTACAGGCATGTGCCACCACACCCGGTTAATTTTCTATTTTTAGTAGAGTTGGGGTGTTACATAATATTCAGGAGCCCGGAGAGACCAGTGCATGAAACAGGAGGATTTTATTAAGGTGGCCACCAGCTCGGCAGATTTGCATCCCAAGGCTGAGAGCCTAACAAAGACAGGGCTTGATTTGTTATACAGCCAAGGATGACATAGCAACTAACAGGTTTACAGAAGCCAGAGGAAAGAACAGTTAACTTGTGACATGTCTTGTGTTGTATGTTACGTTTGAAAATCGCATTTTGAGAAACACATGGCACATTCTATGGGTGTTATATTACCCTGTGACCTTGCAGCTGGTCTGCAAGAAAAACAGGAGTCTTGAGATGCCTGGGAACTTTGCTGAGAAAGTAGGGAGAGTAGATAAGGTAGATTTTGTAGGGAGTTAGTTAATTTAAAGCAGAGCTAGGGGTTAGGTTTTATATTGAACAAAACAGAGTAATCTTTTATTATGTAGCAATTACAGGCTACCATTATTATTTAATTTCCTTCTTCAGGGATTTCTTCATGTTGTTTCTCCTTGAGTCACACTGGTCTCGAACTCCTGACCTCAGATGATCCACCCATCTTAGCCTCCCAAAATGCTGGGATTACAGGCCTGAGCCACTGTGTCCAGCTTGTAAACTGGTTTCTTGAAGGGTGCAAAATTTGTAATGATGAACACTTAGCTCCACTATAGTGGCAGTTAAATTGATCTCAAGACCTGCAGCTAATCTGGTGGGGCTCTAGCTCTAGTTCCAAGGTCAGAGAATACACAGAGAAATGTGCAGGTGTCCACAGATATGAGCTCCAGAGGCAGTGATGACAGAGGCCAGCCCCAAGATGACCAGTTCTACATAGTGCCGTTTGTGAACGCAGAAGCATCAGGAGCTATGCTCTGAGGAGGAGCTATGCTCACGATCTCTGGAGATTGAAAAACATTACAACAGAGTGTTTAATGGACATTTATCTTGTTCCTCTGCTGTTGATTATTTGTAATGGTCTCTTTTTGACTGTAAATTGAACTTTTTAAAAATTAGTGTCTATCAGATTTTCTTCAAACTTTTCAACATCTGTTAGTTTTGTTAGGATATATTTTTCTTCAGAAACATCACTAATTATCAGGGAAATGCAAATTAAAACCACAATGTAATACCACCTTACTCCTGCAAGAATGGACCGTAATTAAAAAATCAAAAAATCATCTATGCTGGTATGGATTTGGTCAAAAGGGAACACTTACACTGCTGATGGGAATGTAAACTAGTACAACCACTATGGAAAACAGTACTGCCATTCAATCCAACAATCTCACACTGGGTGTCTACCCAAAGGAAAAGAAGTCATATGAGAAAGACAAATGCACCTGCATGTTGATAGCAGCACAGTTTGCAATTGTAAAAATGTGGAGCCAGCCTCAATGCCCATCAATTAATGGGTAAAGAAAATGTGGAATATATATACCATGGAATACTGCTGAGCCATAAAACAGAATGAAATAATGGCCTTTACAGCAACCTGGTTGGAGCTGGAGGTCATTATTCTAAGTGAAGTGACTCAGTAATGGAAAACCAAATATCGTGTATTCTCCATGAGACTCCAAAGTCATAAAATGTTACAGTGGCATTTGGGGACTTGGGGGAGAAGGTTGGGAGGGGAGTGATGGATAAAATATTGCATATTGGGTACACTGCTCAAGTGGTAGGTGAACCAGAAGCTCTGATGTCACTCCTAAAAGAAATTATCCATATAACAAAAACCACCTGTTTCTCAAAAATGATTGAAATAAAATGTAAAAACATTATTGGTAAACAACTTATATTTATACACATATACACACACACGTATACATGTAAGTTAAACTGAGCAGCTTCTAGTCTGAAAATTGGCTGTGCTTGTAAAGGGTATGCTATTCAGCCATTTAAAAAACAATAAAAACTAAGGAGATACATATCCTGTAGGGATAATTGTTTTCTTCAATAACTACTCTTAATTAACATGATCATTCTATGAAATATCATATTTTACACAGCTAAAATATGTTTATGGAAATACGGAAAAGAGATGAAGTGCATATATTCCTATAGTAAATTAAGTCCTGGTCAGCTGATTATTCACATATCTGATTGACATTCCCATCATAGCCTGTGGTCATATGAATAGGAAATTAATGTTGGAAGTAGTTACAGCTGGATTTTCAGTGAAACCAATGAGAAAACCATATATCTGCTTATATCCTAACTGCTTTCCATACCGGGGAACTTCAAGCATTTGTTGACTTAGCCAGTGGATAAAACATTGAAACTTTAAAAGCAAGAAACCAAATGTGCTGTTGAGGTATTGATTTCATACAATTAAGTCTTTACAGTGATTACTATGAGAGTGGTAAGATTACTCTAGTTTTTTATTTATTTAAACATTTGACCAAGTGCTGGATACAGTGGCTCATGTCTGTAATACCAGCACTTTGGGAGGCCAAGGTGGGAGTATCCACTTGATCACAGGAGTTTAACACCAGACTGGGTAAAAAGTGAGACCCTGTCTCTACAAAAATAATTTTTTAAAATCTCCCAGCTGAGTGGCATGAGCTGGTAGCTCCAAGCCTTGAAAGGCTTAGGTGCATGGGTTACTTGAGCCTGGGAGGTTGAGTCTGGTGTGAGCTAGGATCATGCCACTGCACTTTAGCCGGTGTGACCCTGTCTCAAACAAACAAAAAGAAAACCTTTGGCCAGGACAGGTGAATAATCATGCAGCGGAGGGTTGCTTCCAGCCTGTTCCCCTCTCAGTGCATTCAACTTATCCCCACATTCTGTTGTGGCCAGGGGTGACAGATACTGAGCACCTTGTGGTTTCATTTCTAACTCAACTCAGAAGAAACAGTGTGTAAGGCCGGCACCCTACCAGAAGGCATCTCATAAAATGAGCTTAGCTTAGCCAAGATGTCTCTCTCTGATCTTTCTACCGTTGGAGATGTAAAGAGTATTCGTGCCCCGTAATAGTGACATCTAATAAATAGCATTCATCATTTCTGTCATCTGATCACTATTGTGGTATCTTGGAAGTAAGCATGAAGTCTGAGTTGTGCAATGGAACGCGCAAGAATGAGCCCCGAGTCAGCTGCACAAGTACAGAGGAGGTCATCGCCTTTCTCCTCATCCCAAACTTGGGGTGCTGGATTCAGAAAGGATTGCAAGCAGCCGTGCCCTGTTTGGACATTAGCATAGGAACCCACCTGCATGTGTTTCAAAACAGAATTTGGAGCCATTCTAGTAGCTCAGTGTGCTATTTTTAAATAACTAGAGAAAAGTTTTGTTAACTGGCTTAACAAAAACAACTGCCTATTAAATGCATATAGTATTGTTTAAAAATTATCTACAAAATTGTAACCTCAATGTTTTCTTGCAAAAGAAGCGGAAGTAATATAGAGACCCTTTCAAATGAAGAATCACTGAGAAACAGAAGTAGGATAACATTTACTTATGTATCTTTTTGAAGATTATACAAGAATGAATTTGTATCAGGCTTTTCAATTTATGAACATTAGTAGGATTTCCCTCTAGGGAAAGTTTTCACATCAATGTTGAAGAAATTCTTAAAACTGTAAACTTTTCTGTATTTGGTAATCTACCCGGGTTCCAATCCAATGTGCTTTCTTATATTTATAAGGTCTATCTCCAGTGTGTATTATCATGGGTCTTGGAGCAAATATCATGTAAATGAAGGCATTTCTACATTCTATACATTCATAGGTTTTATTTCAGAAATGAGTTCTTACCTTCATGTGGAACTGGAACAACTGAAGACCTTACCACATGTTTCTATTTATAAGGAATTTCCCATTGAATCCTTTCATGTTTTCAAAGAAATAAAAAACCTGTAGGCTTTACCATGTTTCCTAAGATTATGTCATTTTTCTCTGTATTAAATGTGAATATGTCTTTGAAAGCATAGGGGAAAATCAAGTTTATTAACACATTTTTTACATTCATGTCTCCGGTACAAGTTTTATTCTGAGTTTTCAAAGAGAATTGCGAAAGTTGCATGCTTTTTTGTATTTCTTCACTAGACTGGGTTCTGTCCAGTGTGAGTTATTTCATGAATTCTAATAAACTAGAGCACATGTTAGCTTTACCACATTTCTTAAGTAAGAATAATGTTTTTGAAGATAGCCCAGTGAACTAACATGGTCCTGTGTTGGTTTTGTTATGCTTCTCCTTCCCTAGGAATGAGTTGCAAAGGGACTTCTTGGAGCTAATTAATTATAATACCAACGTTCCTGGAAGCATTTATACCAAATACTACTTCTATCTTCGTGCCTTGGCGTTCAGGCATGGCCTGGGTTTGCCAACTTACCTTCTTAACAGAGAAAGAGCATGGGATCTGCGGGTAAGGATATGAAGTCACTAAGTGGGTTTTCAGTCAAACATAAGTGCCAACATTTATGATTAGGTCATATGAAGTAGTGATTAGAAAAATGGAAAGCTTCAAAATTAACATACTGAAGAGCTTATTAACCTTTCGGCATTCTATTTCCTGTATCTCTTATGGTTTTTATAAGGATTCATGTTTTTTGAAAATTATAGATATTATCTCTTTTGTGGCCATAATTCAGAATGTTTTAATCAAATTAAATTCATTCATAATGAATTTGAATGTTTTGAACCTTTGCCTTTGCAAATAATCATACAGAAATGATTCTTGCTATCGTATTTCTAACGATGTCTGCATAAATAATGCACTTACCACTCTTGACTACTTTTTATTACTCAGTTTACAAATTTCTGTCATTTTCTACTGTGTATACCACAGTGCAGTCAGTCCCATGGGTGTGTTAGACAAACCATTTAGTGCCTAAGCCAAGAGACATGCACTTAGACAGTATGAGGTGTGCGTGTCTCAAGTACTGGCTGCAGGAAGTACATGGGATTTTACTGGAAATGATAACTTTTATGGGACAAGGAAATATTTATGGTTTGTGACTTTTGGTAAGTACACAGCAAAATTACAGCTGACAAGGATGAACATTTAAAGTAGGCTTGTTCTGTGGCATTGTGGAAGTATTTTAAAATAATACAATTTACCATAAGCATAAAAGTAGTGCCTTTTGATGCTTAATCATTAGACTTTGTTGACATTTCAATACAATCCAGCACATGCCTTCCTGGTTACGATTTTCTTTCAGTATATAATAGCTCTATAGATTGGGTAGAATGTGAATAGATTAATAAACTACCTGTTTGCAGAAGTGTGCTTTCATTATTTTTAAGGCACAAGTGCACATGTAACAGATGATAGTGTTAGAAGTCTGTGACAATACGGTGACATTCTTGGGAGCCCAGTTTTTAAGTAACTTAATAAAGCAAGCTGCCCTTTGCTCCAGCAATCTAATTCTAGCCCTGAAAGGAGATGACCTAAGGAGATGACCTAAGAAGTTGGCAGTGTAAACCTCAACCAAAGTAGCTGTAGCTAAGCTATCTAAAGGAGTCTGCATGTGTGGCTTCTCATCAGTGGTGATTGTTAAAAGGGTGGAACCCTTTTTAAAATTGTACCTCTTTTCTATTTGACATTCTTAGGCTTTATCAAGGATGGAACAAGATGAAGTGTTCTATACTGCTCGAAAGACCGGGTCTTTGAGTGCTGGTGACTTAATTCGTCTTCAGCGCGCTAAGGCCGTCCTCTCCTGAAGGAAGAAATGAGGGGTAATGTAACATCTGAACCCCTCACCAAAAAAGACAGGAAAATACCACCTCTCCTGCTAAATAACTAGAAAAGTTTGTATTTTCAAAAGAAGAAATACCTCAATTCAAGTTAACTCAAGGACAACTAAGATTGCACTTTATAGTAAAGAATGGGACCTTGTCAGGGCAACAGCACAGTCTTACACTCTTTTGTCCCTTTGAATGTAAACAGAGTTATAGAAACCACTCCAGTGTGAAGGCTCCTTCTGCCCACTCACAGATACTTGCGTAGTGTGTTGGCTGATAGCTGTGAACTGTGTCAGGCTTTTTTTGTTTTGTTTTCAGATGAGTCTCTGTTACCAGGCTAGGGGGCAGTGGTGTGATCTCCACTCAATGCAATTCCACCTTTTGGATCCAAGCCATTCTCCTGCCTCAGCCTCCCTCCTTAATTCAATGTTTTATTTTAAGTAGCTGGGATTACAGGGGCACCCGGCCTATGTAAGGCTTTTAAAACAATGGTTTAAAGCTTTTAAATTTTAAAAGATAACTTTTTTGTTTTTTAAAATATTTTTTCTTTTCCCCCAAATTGCAGTATTAGTATTAAAACATGTCAGAGGAGTTCATGAATAGCACAGTTTTTTCTTCATGAGGGGCCTCTCCTTCAGGTGTCCCAGCCTGCTTGCAGCAGCCATAGACGGGGCCTTTATACTGAGAGAAGGTACACAGCGCTGGAAAGCTGAGAATGCACAGGCAGGCATGGTCAGAGTTGAGAATAGGAGGGAGGTTGTGACGTCCTCTGTGAGGGAATAATTTTTATTGTCCTGAGGCTGTTTCTAGATATTGTCAAGTAAATTCAGATGTAGGTAAGACATGACTTTATTCTAAAGGAGTATTGCAATGGGGAAAGCTCCAAGCATCAGATCTGCAAGCATCTCACAAGAGGCAGAAAAGGGCTGTGTTTTTTATGGAGG